AGAAGGAAAGACAATGGTTTATGTCATTAAGACCTAAACTATTAATAAAAGGAAAAAAGATTACTTGGTGCATTTGAAGGGCAAAAAGCAATGTGAATCTAGAGTCAACTTGAAGGCCAGAGAGGAGTCGTAACAAGCACCAGTCACTATATCAAAGGAATAGAACTAGAGATCAAGAATGAAACTGAAAATACTGGATAGGCTATGATAAAAGAAAGTTATTTTTTATTTCTGGACCACAGAGTAGTAACAATGTAGCTCTAGTAAAATCTGAGAAACTGACCAATCCAGGGTTGAATTTTGTGAACTGAATCAAGTTACAATTAAACTGTAACATATTTTTGACTACTTTGAGGTTTACATGGGTACTATAATTTTACCTTTGACTAGCATTGTTTCTGATTATAGATCTCTCGGTTACTTTTATTTCTTTTTAGCTGTCTACCTCTTCTGTGGTGGGAGGTGGGGGGGTGCAGAAAGGAGAGAAAGAGAGACAGGCATTCCGGATAGGTCTTCATGCTGTGATCCACTCCCAGACTCAGCTGGCCTGGATCATAGGCATTTGCTCACTTGCCCAATGTGCTTGGTAGAAGCCCCAGAATGTGAATCCAGGACCTTTTCTATGTTGATCTAGTTCAGTTACCACTGTGCTACCTCCAAGTCCCTGGTTACTTGTTTTAATGAACAGAATCACAGTCTAGATGGCAGCCTGGTTATGGAAGTTGTTATTTTCAAGGTGACAATTTATGATAATTGTTCTCCTAAGTTGTTGACTCATTACATCTCTGTTTTTCACACTATAGATTTGTTTAGCATATCATTATCTTTAGAGTTTATAGCACTTGTTGGTTCAGTTCTGTGTCTCTGATGTCTTTCTTTTACACATGCACATCAATCTTCCTTCTTTGTTCAAATCTGTTATTATTCTACCTTTTGTCCTTTCAGATTCTCTGTCAATTTTCTGCTTAAAACTTCAATGAAAAAATTAAGGCATCAGGAGAAAAGTAGTTTAAAATCCCTTTCTATATTTACAAACCTATCTCTTCCTTCACTTGTACCCCTTCTTTCTTCTTCTTCTTCTTCTTTTTTTTTTTTTTTTTTTTTTTTATGGGTTTTTTCTTTAGGGCGCATGTGCTTCCAGACAGAGAGAGATAGTGAGACAGAAAGCAATAAATCACTCCCCTAGGGGACATGGTCATGCTGCAATCCCTTCTCCTCCTTTCTCCTCTTGAGATCTTGGGCGCACAAACACACATGCCTGGCATGAGTTTAAGCCACCAGGTCTGGGACTTGAACCATGGTCGACTACATGGGAGTCCAGTGCCATAGCCATTATGCTCACTGCTGGTCCCATGTACCTCTTTTTTTCATCCTGTCTTATGGAAGAAGGGTTTTTTCCCTTCTCAGACTAAGCACTTTTCTCTCTAACCTGGGTATATCTTATCAGGCTTTCTGAGGGCCTGGGCTGTGTGCTTTATCATTCATTTCTTTTGTAATTCCGATCACTTCTTTCTTGGTCTATCCTTCATAGCCTATAAACATGGTAAAAATAGCATTCATTTAACAAATATTTATTGTTTACTGTGTGATAGGAACTGATAGTAAAAACCAACATGGTCCCTCACCTCATCATCCTTATCCTCCAACTCCATAACCCCTTCTTGGCTACTGACCTATCTTTTTCTGAATTTCAGAGTCAAACTTCCTTTAGAATAGGTCCCCACTCACTGAAACTGTTCTCTCTCAGCTCCTTTGTTCCACAATTCTTTGCAATTGGCTTTCACTGTAACCATTCCATTATTCTTTCCAAGGCCTCTAATGACCACCCATTTGCAAAGCAATGAATTATTTGTCTTTATATTTCTTGAGCATGCTGTGACATAAGAAGAGATAAACTCTTCATTATTTTGGAAACTTTCTTTGGCTTCTGTGACATCACATTTTCTCAAGGATGCATGTATCTGTTTTCCTATGATTTCTTTATAGCCCTCTTGTTAGGGTCTTCCTTTATTACACTGTTTCAATATTTGTGAGCACCAGAGCTTGGGTCATCTAGATAGCATTGCTTAGTGTTTTTCATCTCTATTCAGTCACAATGATTTAGAATATGATGAGGATTCCATAAATTTCTATCTTCTAAATCTCTGCTGATCTTCAGACACATATAATTAATTGCCTGCCAATTACACAGCTTCCCTGGATGGTTCAAGGTGCTAAAATTACTTTTGATACAATGTATCCAAAAGTAGAACTCAAACATCTTTTCCATGAAAACTTGTTCTTTTTCCTGCATTCAGTAGCTTGGTGAATAGCACTGACATTTTCTACTTAAATAACCAGAAAAAAATAAAGGACTCATTCTAGATCGCTCTCTTTTTGTGAACTTGGTCTGCACTTCGACTGCATTACAAAGCTCTTCAACAGTAAGATGCTTAATATCTTTCAACCCTCCTCTTTTCTCCCTATGCTCATGGTTACTGACTTATTTTTCATTCTCATCACTCTTTACCTGGTTTACTACAGACTGCGGTCACATCCTAACTTGCCCCAAATCTACTCTCCAAGCTACTGCTAAAGAAACTCTACAAAAGCACAAACCTGAGGGTTTCACACCCTTGTTTAAAATTCATAGCTCCTCATAGCTTTCAGGATAAAGTTGAAACTTATTCACTAGTGCATAAGGTCTTTTATGGCCTGATTCTGTTATCTCTCAGCCTCATCTGAAATTTTTCATCATGTAACCTACGGATTTGCTTGCAGGGACTAAAGCATTTTCCAAAGTGTATTGAGCAAAATGCTAGTACTGCACAAATGGAAAGATTTCTGCGATTAAAGAAGCTTTGGTTATGCTGGGTTGAACAGAGTTAACCCTGCATTCTTCCTTCAGAAGAATTATGCAGAGCCTCTACCATGCAAATGTACATTGGGCCTCTCTAACATGCAAACAATGTATGCAGCAATGTTCTACTGTATAGAAGGCCAAAATCAGTTTTAGTTCCGATGGAGGAGTTTCCCCAGAGCTTTATGTTCCAAGGACATGAAATTATAAAATGATGTATTATGGAGCCAGCAGGTGGCATGGTGATTAAAGACACTGGACACTCACATGGTTGGCTTTGGTTTGAGTCCTGGATTTGCCAGCTTGCTTTCTCACTTCCTCTCTCTCTCGCTCTCTGGTCAAATTAAAATAAATAAATAATTAAAGTTTAATAAAATACTTCTTTGAAAAAGTGATGTATTATACTCTCTGATGGCTCTAGGCTTTCACACAACTGTCACCACTCTGAAATGTCTATCCTTGTTCTTCAACCCACTAACGGCTTAATTTCTGCTTGTGCCTCAGAGATGCTCCTCTTGGGAGCTGACCTCTCTAACTTATCTCTCTTCTGAGAGATATCGTTCTCTTTTGAGATTTCTAGCCTGCCATTTGTGTACATGGATATATACATCTATCTGTATATACATATGTGTGTGTATATTGCCATATATTAAGTCATCTGGAAAGTCATGATGTATTTTACTATGCAAAAATGCATCATGACTTTACCAGCAACTCAATATATGCATATATATGACAGAAATTAGCTTTCTATCTTTAAGTGTTGATTTACATGTCCATTTACTTCTTCATTAGACTGTAAGTCCCTGGAAGGCAAAGACTTGCTTAGTTCTTGCTTAGTATTGAGTAGGTGCTTGGCAGATATATGAAAATGCATAAATAAAATATGTTACATAATTAAATGTAGATTATTGTGAAATCTCACATTGGAATGATAGGCATTAATTGTATTAGCAGAAGTATCAAAGTTTCATTTACAGTTATTGCTTTTTTTTTTTTAAGAAAGATTTTTGCTAAAGGGCATGTGTGTCTATAGAGAGAGACACACAGAGAGAAAGAGAGACAGAAAGTGAGAAATCGTTCCCCAGGAGGGATGGCCACACCTCAATCCTTTCTCCTCCAACCTCCTCTTGCGATTTTGGGCATGCACACACACACACGCCAGGCATGAATTTTAAACCGCCAGATCTGGGACTTGAACAGTGGTCGACTATGTGGGAGTCTAGTGACGTAACCATTACACCATCTGCTGTTCCTAACAGTTATTATTAATACATAGAATTAGGGAAATTATACTTAAATAGTAATAACACTACACCAAGAACTCATAGACTTGGGTTTCTGTTCTGGTTGTGAAATCGTATATATATATATATACACACACATACATATATACACATATATATATATATGTGTATATACATATATAATTATTTTTTTAATTGCCAAAAGGCACCTTCATTCACCAGAGAGAGTCAGACAGAGGGAGAGGGAGAAAGCAGCAACCCTCCACGGGGTCTGGTAACATCACACTCTTTTCTCCTTCATTCTCCATCCTGTTGGCATTTTGGGCATGCACATACACATTTTCCAGTCACAATGGACAGGATTTGAATCACAGTTGGCCATGAAGGATCCAGCTCCCTTTACTACTAGGCTGTAGCCTATTGAAAAGTGCTTTAAAATGTCCCAGAACCATAAAAATGTCACTTTATTATTACTCAATTATTTAATTGCATGTGTTTAATTTTTTTTTTTTTTTTTTTTTGCAGAGAGCTGGCAGCTGTGCCCTATCACCCCCATGATTTCTACTGTGGTCAGCTTTAAAAGAAACATCTCGGCAAAATAGGAAGAAAAGCGAAGCACATAACATTTTTCAAACCTATTACAAGATATAATTTTGCAAGTTGCAAGACAGTTTTATGCTTTCAAATTAAGCTCTCAGTTTCAAAAGAAAATGACAGAGAACCATTTGGCTCTTCAATCAGTCACGTCTAACCCAAACCACCTATAATCTAAGCCGAAGAAATGACTATATCAATTTTTCACAAAACTTGGGAGTTACTGAATTTACTCATAGGGTCTTTCTCCTGATTAAGTACATGGGTGCTTTGGATAGCATGATGATGGCCTGTACTGCATTATTACTATAAAAACTCACCTTGTTTTTGAATTCTTGACAGGGTGAATGATTTCCATTTCCCATCGTTATGGTTTTGATTGCTGACAATGGAAGCTACTCCTGAACCTAGATCATAGCTGACTTTAATGTGCCCGTCGGTGAGCTCAACACTCATGAAATCTCTCTGTTAGGAGAAGAGAAATACACCAGTCATTAGATACACAGAGAAATGTATGGGCATTTGCCTTTTAGGTAGGGTTTATAATAGGGTTTTATACCAAATTGCTAAAAGTCTTGCTCTGTAATAGAACTCCATTTTAAAAATAGAATTGCTGTTACTATTTTGTGAATTTTTATAGGTCTGATGTTATGGTACAAATGGTCTCAACCAAATTACTAGGACATGTCCTTTTATTACAGTGGTACAATATGGGTTCCTTTTTAAACACAGCAAGCGTACTGAGAGGTATGTTCCCTGAAAGAATTTACTAAGAAATCTTGACCTGAAATAAAAAGGCAAAAGAATATTTAGAATCAATTTATGCCTCTAGAAGATTAAGGAAGTAGCTCGCTGTTGTATCCTTTCATATTGGGAAAATCTTTACTGGGTGCTTCTTTTAAAAACAATGATGGAGGGACCAACAGTCAGCATAATGGCTATGTCGCTGAACTCCCACGTATTCAACTGCAGTTCGAGTCCCGGAACCGGTGGCTTAAACTCACGCTGGGCGCGTGTGCGTGCCTGCCCAAGATCCCGAGAGGAGAATGGAGGAGAAGGGATTGCAGTGTGGGCACCCCCCCGGGGGGTGATTTTTTTGCTTTCTGTCTCTCTGTCTCTCTCTGTCTTTCTGGTGAGCGCACGTGCCCTATAGCAAAAACCTCTCCAAAAAAAGAAAGAAAGAAAAACAATGATGGAGGGAGTTATGTTGAAAATAAATAGTAATTAAACTGTCCACAATTAAAGTCATTAGTGAAAATATAAGCACCATCTGTTTCACCCATTCTTGGCTATCACA